CTATATACTGCTGGTTGTGAGTCTTTATCTTCTATAGTATTGATAATCGTGAAAACTATGAAGCTGTGATATTTCCTCGGATAATCGCATCACCAAAATTTCATATCCTGACATCCCTAGGCCAGTGGTAAGTGCAGTACACATTTTTTGGTTCCCCCTAACTCAAAATGCTTCAAGACACCTAATCCTCAACACGACATGACAAAATATACTGAGTTTCATGATAATTGGACACATTGTTGTTTAGTTATGGCCAATTCCTGTTACACCCCGCCTTTTTGCTCATTTATATTAGAATCTCAGTCTCACAGTGCTGTATTTCAGATTTGGTGTTGATTGGTTGAAAAACCAAAGATTAATGTTTTTCAATTCATGCTAATTAGCATTGAATCCATCCTGATGGATTTTTATGGTCCAATTGGCTTTTTTGCCGAGCACCATTGGTGTGGTCTGTGAACTTCTTTTTAAATGCTGTATTACAGTGCCACCATGTGGCCAATTGAAGTCATGTTTCTTGGAAAGTTGATGCAAATCAATTTCAGTAATTGTGCCACGTTTCCATGTTTTTTAATTTAAATAACACAAACTGTTATAATTACTAGTTGGAAAAATCACTTGATAGATATTGAATATTAATTCACGTCGACCTTGTCTCCTCACCTTGTCTTTGGCGGCCGCCAACGCCGCCGACACATCGTCCTTCTTTCTCCGTTCGGCCTCTCTCTCTTGCTCCTCCTCCTCCCTCCTCTTCCTCTCGTCCTCCCGTTTCTTTTTCTCCTCCTCACACTTCTTCTTCTCGTCCTCCTCCCGTCGCTTCTGCTCCTCCAGGATTTTGTCCTCCACCCTCTTCGTCCTCCGCAGCCTGATCGCTCTCTTCTTCGACTTCACCTGCAACACAGAGATGGTGAGGGAAGCCCATCACTCCCTGTCCTTTGTGTCCGGTGGCTCTGGTTGGTCGGAGCCTCACTCACCAGGGTGGTGGTGAACTCCACCTGCTTGTGGATGTCGCTGCTGTTGAACTCGCTATCGCTGAAGTTCTCACAGATGTCAAAGGGAAGCTCACCGTGGTCATCCGACTTCACGATTCCTTCTTCAGAGCCCAGATAAGCGATGATACCCTGATACACAATCGATTATTAGAACAGATAACAGATAATTAGTTTTCTCTCACTCCACCTCTGGTGACGCTGCCTGCATGTGTGTTCCATGTGTGTGTATGTATGTTTGTATGTCTGTATAGTTGCTTTCAGATCTGCACTGAACTCTGGAGATCCTCCACAGTTTCTCCAGAGGATGTGTGTGTGGTCACAAATGTTCGAGTGAGAGCTTCCAGAGTTTTTGTGGACTTTCTCCATCTGGTAATAAGTCCACAGAAAGTCCAGAGGAGTCTCACAGTACGTATACATGGGACAGCTTGATATGATTAAGCCATATACCAATTTTGTCACTGAACAGACCACTATCACTTCATGTCGTTCAGAGAATCAAATAAATGGCCGGTGGATGGCTGACTCCGCTACGCTATGTGGCGCTGTAGCCCTTTCAAAAAGTGGTTGTAGAGCCACTTCCGGTTGATCTATACATCACAGCGTTAAAAATGTTTAGCTCTTGTACTTGGTTAAGCATGAAGCAGGTCTTGTCGTATGTCCAGAAGTGAGATGTTGATTTCGTCTAAGCCATGGTGTCTTTGGCCTTTTCCGGAAACAACACTACTATTTATTACCAGAGCCGTCCCCTTTCACCTCCGGGTGAAAGCCCCGGCGGAAATTCTCGAGCATTCTCGGAATGCAAAATTCGATTTAGATAGGATGGCTTAGTAATACATGGCGTTAGAATGCTGACAGTGAACGACTTATCTAGGTGTTCTTTTCCGATTTTGAGATGTCTGTTATGGTCCTTTTGTTTAACGATGTAGATCGGACTAAGATGTTTACGTGCAAGTCCAAACTCTGTCTTATACGGTCCGAAATTCTGCTGCTCCACCTGAATCCTGCAGAGGATTCGTTGTTGTGAACGAGTCTGAGCAGAGAATCTGCTGCTGCGATGTGTGAAAAACAAACTGTGGAGAAAATCTGGATCCAATTCTCCAGAGATCCTCCAGAGATCATGTCTGAAAACAGCTTGTGTGTGTGTGTGTGTGTGTGTGTGTGTGTGTGTGTGTGTATTGTTCAGTGTGTGAATGTGTTGTTACCAGCTCTCTTGTCTCTTTTGTGTAGCTGAAGGTGAAAGGGACTTTGGGTTTGATGTTTGCTGCCCTCCTCTTTCTTGTTGCCATGTCTACCAGCAGGTTGATCAGCACATGGTCGTTCTTCAGGAGCGTCACACCACAGTCCCGGTGGTTGAAGGTCACGTTGGTCCTAACGGGGCCGATGTTGGCATGGATCTGTCCCGGGTAACCTGGCAAGACGGGCTAAGAAGAGAGCAAGCACCATCAGGATGCTAAATAGCAGCATCGCGGTTAAAATTATGTCACTCGTCAGGGTCGTTACCCACCGTGGGCTCGATGATTGGCTGACTGACGATGCCCTCATACAGCTCCGTGTCTAGCCACATGTGAGGCCCCAACTCGGGATTAGCTCTTCCTCTGGACTTTTTCAGTAACTCTCTGTCGTCGTTTTCAACCTCTGAGTCCTCTATGGCTGTGGAGAGCATCAGGAGGAGTGGCTCCTTCACACGACGGATCCTGACAGCCTGCTTCCCCGTAATCAGCTGATCAAACACATTTAAAGATGTCAGAGAAACAGGAAGTGATCAAACAAATGTAACCATGATGGCAAACCCTACAACACATTAAAAATGTAATGATTTGATGTCTCATTATTTTAAAAAATCAAAACCATAGCTGTTTTCAGATATGAGCTCCAGGGAGAATCCAGAGACACGTCTCCAGAGACTCGTGTCTCCAGAGTTCATGTTTCACAGCTGAACAACTCAGCAGCAGGTTTTCTGCTCAGACTCATTCA